CGCCTTCTGAACGTGCTTTGGCTCGCTTGCGGCAGTAGGTGCCGCCTGCCGTCAGACCCCACCGATCTCAAGCACAGGCAAATCTCAACCCATCCGCCACCTTCTGAACGTCCTTTGGCTCGCTTGCCGCAGCTGGCACTGCCTGCGACAGAACCCCTTGCTCATCGAAAAGGGATCAAAACCATTCACTGTGGAGTTTCAAGGGGAAGATATAGACTGGTTCGGATGCCAGAATTCCAGATAACAACGGGCGATTAGTTGGCGTGCTACATGTTTGGACAGACGAGACATGTGGTTGTCGCATGCAGGATGCCCCTGGCAGGCTGAACCGGAAAATTCTCACCAAGTAGCGGAGCAGCCCAATCCCACACCCTGCAACCAACTCCAACCAAACTCTCTGCCGTCATCCCATTGGAAGGCACCCCACAACGAATAACGCGACACATCAGCCTACCTTGAACAAACTGCCCGGAATTTCTGTGCGGGCCTCCCCTGCGATCTTTGGAATCACCAAGGGTCCCACAGCAGACGAGGCCGCCACAGGCTTGCCGACATCAGCCTCCCCTGGCCCACAGAAATGAGGAAGTCATGGGGTTTTGGACCTGCCTATAGTCTCAATTGTAGTTCCTTTTTGGGGATACCTTACAAACTCCTTAATGTATAATTGGTTAAACCAAAAAAAGGAACTACAATGGAGACTCTAGGTGCTACAGAAGCTGCAGACTGAAGGAGTCTGGCGGTTCTTTGCTTCAGAGCTCGGGCTTCCCTGCACTTCCCTAGCAAGCGGTGGTCTGCCAAAGGGCAGAGCAAGGATTGAAGCCGCAGACACATACGAGTCAAGACCGGACCGAATGATCTTAGCTATCTTACTCAGGATCCGAACTCTGAAAGAAGCCAGGTCCTTGAATCGGAACCCAAGCCCGGAACATGCAATCAGCTGCTTTGGACTAAAGCAATATCTTTCAATATCTCTGTTAGAAGCAACGTGGCAGGCACTCCGGAGCGGTAAACGAACATAAAAGCATGCCAGGAATTTCTCTCCCTAGGCCCAGGCTTTCTACTTGGAGGTGAACCATTCAGCTTACTAGACCAAGCCCATTCCCCACAAGCTGAGAAGCCCGTGACATGCTCGACGCCCTGGTTCAAAGCTGAAGCTGCGGTGGAGCGTTGCAAAGCTTTCGGGCCTGAGTTTGGGCCTCCGGGTTGTGGACAAGACAACCTTAACACCTGGACCCCGAAGTTCATGCCGGCCTGGCGAAAAAACAACCAGCAACTATTAAAGGAAAATACAGGTGGGGAGTTCAGGGTATATAGGGCTTTTATAAAGCTATAAGGCTCCTATAACGAGAAATTACTTCTGCCTGCTACGTTGAGACATCGATGAGGTGTTTGCGGTTAGTGGCTGAGGACCTCACCAAGCCAGTATCTTCAACGTCTGCCAGCCACAGATTCAGAAACACCCCGCAATGAGCAGAGCACCGAAACACCCTAAACACTAACCGGCACCATCCCAGTGCAGTTTCTATTTCAGGACATTTCGCCAAGACATCCCAAAACCTCCGACATGTTGGAGAGCCTCTGGCGCTGGTTCCGGTGTGTCTGACAGTTAAACCTGGCTCCGCTCAGCGTCGCGGACTCCAACAGGCACGCCTTCCTCGTCGGATGAGGTGATGACCCGCCGCCGTTTGCGCCTGTTGCCGAGTACCTGCGCATGTGCCCACGAAATTATGTGGACTCTCGTCCAAATGTAGTGCAACGAATCGAACTGTAATCCCGACGTCCAAAGCCTGGCGAGATGCATGGATACTTGTAAATGTACCCATCTATGTATCTGTCGACCTACCTACCTGCCTGCCTGCCTGCCTGCCTGCCTGCCTCCCTCCCTCCCTCCCTCCCTCCCTCCCTCCCTACCTACCTACCTACCTACCTACCTACCTACCTACCTACCCACCTACCTCATCCATCTATCTATCTATCTATCTATCTATCTATCTATGTGTCGATCCGTCTATCCGTCTCTCTCTTCATCTCTCCCTCTCTCCCACTCTCTTTCCCCATCTCTCTATCTACCGATCTAACTAACTGATTAACTAACTATCCGTCTATCTATCTATGCATCCATCTATCCGTCTACCTACCTACCTATCTATCTATCTATCTATCTATCTATGTACCTATCTATCTATCTATCTATCTATCTACCTACCTATCCTTCGATCTATCCACCTATCCGTCTATCCATCTCTCCATCTATCCGTCTATCTGTCTATCTGTCTATCTATCTATCTATCTATCTATCTATCTATGCTGTATCTATGTATCGATCTATCTATCTATCTATCCATCCATCTATCCATCTATCCATCTATCCATCGATCCATCTATCCATCTATCCGCCTATCCATCTATCCGTCTATCTATCTATGCATCTATGTATTTATGTATGTATGTATCTATCTATCTATCTCTCTATCTATCTATCTATCTATCTATCTTTCTTTCTACTTATCTATCTATCCATCCTTGTATCCACTCATCCATCTGTCTCCGTCTATCTTTCGATCTATCTATCCATCTATCCATCCATCCGTCTATCCATGTATCCATCCATCCACCCATCCAACCCAAGCTAACCTAACCGTCCAATCTAATCTGCTGTTTAACGCGAATTGTGCGGCAATCTAATCCAGTCTCATTTAATTCAATCTAAACGAACGTATCGGGCTATCGGCTATCGTCGTAACATCTGTGTGTGTGTGTGTACACACACACACACATACGCTTGGCCGGCGGTTCGAGCCCCCACACTGCATAGCCTCAGCGGACTAACACCCGTCACAGTGTGACCGAACCCGAACCTGCACAGAATCCGAAAAGCCACTCAAACACCAAGCCCTCTGACCCGAGCACACACAGTAAACGTCACAGACCCAACCCCTCCCAAACCAACAGCCACATTCATGCAGACAGAGTAGGGCCTGGTCAGATTCCATGGCACCTTTGCAAAGCACAACGCTGAACGTTGAACTGCAGTCCTGGTTCAGATTCCTGCACATAAATATCTGGGCTGTCAGAGGCTGGGGTGTACGCAGCGAAGTGTTCCGGATGAGGGCCCATGGTATGGATTCTGGTAAGCTTTCGGACTCCCGAGATTAAAATCTTTCGAAGTGCTGCTACTTCGAACAACAAGATAAAACCAACAAAAGCAATACATAACAACTTGACAACAATAGTAGTAGCAATAATAGTGCAATGGGCAGAAGAGGTTCTGAACAAGACTTCAGTCCCTGCAGGATCGACGGGTCCAAGCACAGAGCATTGATGGCCAAGAGCTGCGACGGAACGAGATCTCGATCAAAAGCACAACTTAAGGCCCCGATTCTGACTATCATTGCTGTAGCAGCTGTCACATACCAATACGAGTCATTTCTATCATTCTCCGTTTTCTATTCTACTTCGTACTAGCATCCTTTATCTTTTGCAAGCACTAATTCCATTGTTACTATATTGTTATTGTTACTATACCGTTACTGTTTATATTTTTTTCGTAGTCGTACGGTCGTTATTTGTTGATTCTGAGTGCTGTCGCGCTGTGAGATTTGGCTCAGGACCCGGCGTGCGGGTCACGGGGCGTAAGCTCAAGGCATCGGAGTTCAAGCTGTGGTGTAAGACTTGCGATATTCTTTATTTAGGACCAGCCTGTAACCCTAAACTCTAAACAAGCTGCGGTGTAAGGCGGGCGGTTTAAAGGTTGAGGGTTTAGGGACTTAAGCAGACCTGTGGAATGCAAGCTCAGGGTTTTAGGGCTTAGGGTTTCTGGGGCAGGGTTGGGCTTCCAACGAAGATAGATGAGGTAGAGATCACTCGCAGCCTTGGCCTTGTTCAGATCGTGTTCCATCCCTCTTAACCATGCCTGGTTGCCATCGAATAGCCGGGACTTTGAGGGGAGCTGGTGCCAGGGCTTCGTGTTCTGCAGAGACGAGTTGAGGATTAGATGATGGGTGTCAAAATTCTCTCTGATTCAGGGCATAGGGTCATAAGGACGTATCTTCCCAGGAAGCTCGGGAGCCGCGTGGCGATCGGCAAGGTGAAAAGGAAGCATGAAGGACAACTCCAACGCAGCTTTTCCGACATACCCAACCTCTTCTTTACTACGCCGCATTGTTCTCAAACTGTTTGGACGCGATTTTGCTCTTTTTCCGGCATGTGTCTGCGTCGGGTGGAGCCGTACACCACGCCCACCGGGTCGGGTACACATGGACGACACGCTTGTTGAAGCTCCCTTGCTGTGAAGCTTGGATCTGAGACCACGTCCGAGGCCGCTTGCTTGTGCAGGGACGATGTCCTCCGCTGTTCCGAAGTTTAACAACCATCTCTCATGTGCCCCTAATTCTTAAAACCTAAACCCGAAACCCTACCGCTACGCGTACGATGGCCCGACAAAGAAGATGAAGGCGACAACTACTACTAGTACTCCTCCTGCTGCGACTAGCTCCCCGAAAGCGAAAATAAACCAAACAACTATCGAGGCTGTCTCCAACTCTCCTTGGGACTACGAGTACCTCACTCTCCTGCCGCCCCAGCCCAGGCAAAGAGGAGCAATGTTTAACGTCGGTAACAACGTGCCGCAATGGTCCTCGCGAGTCCCTGCATGGAGCCTTCAAGGTGAGGGTCGGCGAATGCCAACGACCGAAGGTTTCACGGCTCTTCCTGGTGCACGTGAACTCAAGGTGGTCATCGGCAGGCTTCCCACCCCAAACGCGGTCCTCGGGCAGAGCCCAATCTGGAAGTGCCTCCTCGTAGAAGTTGCCGGACCACGTTTCCCAACCTGCGAACTGCGGCAGCAAAGATTCCACATGACAGTCGATCACGTGCCACCAAGTTTGTTCCAGAAAAGGAGGCAAATCCCGCCGTCGGCATCGCGGGGGGGCGGTGGGACCTCGCTGGATGTGCCTGCGCAAGGCTAAGCAGGCGGGAGTCTTCGAAGCATCCCGAAAGAACCTCTCAAGGGTAAACATGGAGTCGGGACGTACGGAAGGCCTGAGGCGCATGGTGGTGCATGGGTCGCAAAGGTCATCATCGTTGTCGCCTGTGAGCATCAAAGAAAGCAAGCCAGACCACGCTACTGGACTCAAGCACGCACTGGTTGCTGGAGTTGTGCCTGTCGAGTCTGACGCGGAAGGGGCGGGGCTCGTGGGAGTTGTGGAGCTCGCGGGACGGCAGCGCGGCCGCCCAAGTTCACCTTCAAAATCTGGATGCTCAATGCAACATTGGCAATGGACACATCATGAGAACAATGACAGCAGCAAGTTATACAGTTATACAGTTATACCTCTTCAAGATTTTAGGGATCGGACTCTGGCGCACCCAGAGCGAACATCGCCGGGGGGCGGTGTGACCTCGCTGGATGTGCCTGCGCAAGGCTAAGCAGGCGGGAGTCTTCGAAGCATCCCGAAAGAACCTCTCAAGGGTAAACATGGAGTCGGGACGTACGGAAGGCCTGAGGCGCATGGTGGTGCATGGGTCGCAAAGGTCATCATCGTTGTCGCCTGTGAGCATGAAAGAAAGCAAGCCAGATCACGCTACTGGACTCAAGCACGCACTGGTTGCTGGAGTTGTGCCTGTCGAGTCTGACGCGGAAGGGGCGGGGCTCGTGGGAGAAGTGGAGCTCGTGGGACGACAGCGCGGCTGCCCAAGTTCACCTTCGAAATCTCAATGCTCAACGCAACATCGGCAATGGACGATATCATGAGAACAAGGACAGCAGCACCAACCGCAGGACCACGCTAGATCACACTTGCTCAAAACGATTCAAGACGAAGTATGACGAAGTTATACAGTTATACAGTTATACCTCTTCAAGATTTTAGGGATCGGACTCTGGCGCACTCAGAGCGAATGCAAGGGAAACCTTCGGCCTGTTGAGTGCAGGAGTTGATGGGGGACAGCGTTTCCGGCGTTTCCCAACCTGCGAACCGCGGCAGCAGAGATTCCACATGACAGTCGATCACGCGCCAACAAGTTTGTTCCAGAAAAGGAGGCAAATCCCGCCGTCGGCATCGCGGGGGGGCGGTGGGACCTCGCTGGATGTGCCTGCGCAAGGCTAAGCAGGCGGGAGTCTTCGAAGCATCCCGAAAGAACCTCTCAAGGGTAAACATGGAGTCGGGACGTACGGAAGGCCTGAGGCACACGATGGTGCATGGGTCACGAAGGTCATCATCGCTGTCGCCTGTGAGCATGAAAGAAAGCCAGCCACATCACGCTACTGGACTCAAGTACACACTGGTTGCTGGAGTTGTGCCTGTCGCGTCTGCTGCGGAAGGGGCGGGGCTTGTGGGAGTTGTGGAGCTCGCGGGACGGCAGCGCGGCCGCCCAAGTCCACCTTCAAAATCTCAATGCTCAAAGCAACATTGGCAATGGAAACATCACGAGAAAATTTAAAAAGGACAGCAGCACCAACCGCAGGACCACGCTAGATCACACTTGCTCAAAATGATTCAAGACGAAGTTGTACCCCTTCAAGATTTTAGGGATCGGACTCTGGCGCACCCAGAGCGAACGTAAGGGAAACCTTCGGCCTGTTGGGCATTGGCCTCCGCCCTGCGAGCCTGCAAGCTTGGATATCAAGCCCGCAGCCCGAGCCAGAGCTGACTTCTGCTCCCGACACGTTCCCCAAGGAATGGCAAGCTAGAAATTGCGACAGACTGCGACTGCATGCTGGGATCAACCCGGCTCAAAGTTTCAACGACAATTTCGGCAGCCTTCTTGATCTCGTTCTTGATCTCTTTCTTCAGAACCTGGCCAAGGCTGAGGATGGGACGCAGACCATCAGCACCACAGACGCACCGCACGGAAGCATGGGACGGAGGCACCTTCTGTTTCTTTCGGCGCTGGTTGCGCCTATCCTGATAGATGTCCAACATGTAGCCCACCTGGCCAAGCTCTGTCCCTCTCTCCCTCTCTCTCTGTCTCCTTCTCTTCTTCAGCACAGTCAAGGGACAGCGTGTGCATGCAGCCCCCCAGCATGATTGCGCGTCGGAGGTCCGAAGGCTCGGAATGAGATATCGACCGACACAGGCTCAAGTAATTACCCTTCTCTCTCTCTCTCTCTGTCTCTCTCTCTCTCTCTCTCTCTCTCTCTCTCTATTTTTCAATATGTCCGTATGGAATATTGTATGGAATGCGGTGGTGTCCTTCCCTCTTGCCCCTGAAACTGGGCCGCCCCCTCGGACAAAGTCTTCAAAGGTCCAAGACTATCAGCCCTGCAAAGGCAGTCTCGGACGTCGACATGGTCGAGGTCCGGGACCTCATCGAAGTCCACCTTCGACACATTTCGGTCTGACAAAAAATGCCCTTTCGATAAGCGAACAAGGCAGTTAGTTAGGTGCACCGCAAGCGACAGCATGAAAGAAGGCAGGTGACAAGACAACGTGCCTTCTAGCCTCACAGCTACAGCATCTATTCTCGCTTCTGAGAACTGCCCCGTGCTGAAGCAAACGAGCCTCAGATTCAGGTGAAGCCGCATCTCCAGTTGGGCGCCGCTCGTCCCTGCAGAACTCACCATGTCGTCAAGAATTCTGCGCTGAGCTACTCAGCTACCGCTTTACTCGGCACGCTGCACATTGGCAACGGCGGCCGCAGCCTCAGAGGAACATGTCCCCTTGTATAAACTGTCTGCTGCCAGCGCCGCCGGTCGTGTGGACAGGCCCTGGCTCTGCCCTCTTCCATGTCCGCCAGGAGGAGAACCTGCACAAACCACACGGCGAAAGCGATCCCAAAGCGACTTGAAACACCTCCCAAGGCCCGGACGTCGCCACGCTGATCTGTAACATCCCTTGTAATTTGCATCGTGAGTGGAGCGATAGAGGCGAGGGTGCCGCAGGAACACTCAGCACCACACGGGCCAGGAGCACCTTGCCTCAGCCGGTTAACTCACAGAGACCTGCTCGGCAACTGCAGGACTGGCGGACGGTGCCTGCGGATGTACGCGAAGCAGGCAAGTGCGGCGCCTGCGTGCATGCACAGTGAGACAAGACTTCCACAATTGACGAAGGGTGGTGCCGCCCAGAAGCCGCATGCCAACACCGTCGTGGCGAATACGAAGAGCACGATGGCGAAGAAGTCGTCCTGAAAACAGGCCCGGAACTCGCCACGCTACTCGCTCCCACCTCTTCCCTGATTCGTGCCTCTTGCTCCTGGCCGGCGGCGAACACTGCGCGCAGCACTGACGGCCGCTCCCACAGCGGGCCGTCCGGCCTCAACAAACCCCTCAGCCTCAACGAGCTGGCTCTCCGGTCGTTTGAATGTCTATGCCGTGACTGCTCGGCCCCTTGCAGGTCCACAGGCTCTGGAAACAGCGTCGGCATCGCAGGGAGATCACTTGCAGACTTCGGGAGTGCTTGCAGTATCAAAAATGGTGCTAGCCTCTTGAACAGATCAAAGTCTTGGACGACACATTCCATGCCTGAACTTGCGACCGCATCATTCAACGAAGCTAAAGCTTCTCTGCAAACTGTCGACGGGCGTCAAATGGATGGACTCAGCCATGAGCCTTGAAACGCTCAAGGTTAAGCCGTCCGGCCAACTTCGTTAAGTATGTACTGGCCCTGGTCATGTGCTGATAATCCTGTTGCATGCAAGCATTGCAGCAACAACACAACGAGGGGCCACGGCAACGATGCACCATGACAACTATGGCTGCTACTGTTTGTACAACGACAGCTCAGGTACGTCACTGCAGACTCTCACGCGAGTACTGATGCGCGAATGATCTAGGGATGTGCGCCTATGCAGCTGCAGCTTGTGGCCTCAGCCGCATAAGGTCTAGGGAAGCTCTTCTAGACAGGAGTGTTCACCAATCCCCGTGGTTGCGAGAGGGAATGTGGAATCGGGAAGCTTCATGGGGCGGTGCAGGCACGTATTTGCATCATAGCTTTCATTTCCAGGGGGGGGTTCTTCGGCTTGTCTTGACATTCATAGAAAGGTTCGGACTCAAATGGCAAAGAGACATGCCACAGATGGTGTTTTTCAAGGGCCAGCCCAAAGTGATGCCTTGCTCTCGCCTGTATCTCCATGCCCACACTTCCGCTTCATCCGGACACGGGACACCCACATTCTGTCACGTCTTATCTCGCAATGTCCTGTAGGCTGACAGGGCCGCTGCGATTCACGTTTCAATTTATCAGGGTCGAAGTTACCTGCTTGGAACTTATAGGGATTTGACATCTTGTTTCGATGGCAACGCCACGCCCAGAAGTTGAACATTTTCGCCCGGAATCTCGAACCCCAAGACAGTTCGATACTCTCCAGGTCCTATCAAGCAGGTTGCTTTGTCCACGAAGCTCTCGACGCATCCTTTTTTCTGGCACAAACGAGCAAGATCCAGTAGGTGCTAGGGGCAAACGGCATGAGGAACATGCTTGGGTTTCTCAAGCGCCATGACTCCCTGAATCTAGCAAAGCGAGCTCCAAAGATCTCTGATGTCGCTCGGTTATCAGCTATCAACAGAATCTTTCTCAGCAGAACTCGGCTGCAAACGACTGAGAGCCTGAGCGATGCCATCCAGTACCCAATAGGTCTCCAAAGTACCATCACCACCACAACAACGACGACGACTACCTCTACGACTTCGACTACTACGACTGCTACTTGTACTACCACTGCTTCCTCCTGCTCCTCCTGCTCCTCCTACCACTAGGACTCCTGGTGGTCCTGGTGCTGCTGCTCCTGCTGCCTGCTGCCGGTCTACTCCAACGGGCCGAGTGTGGGGTTTTTCGGATGCGCTAAGCCCTTGCTTCTTTTGGCTCTGGGGCTCGGGCTTTTTGCTGGAGTTTGGGCTTTAAGTGTTTCGAGCCTAGACTTTCCGGGTATGTGAAAGCTTGTCGGGAACAAAAAAGGGTGTCATGAAGCGACTGTAAGAAGGGAGTACTACAATTCTTCACCGCGTCCAATGACTCACAGCTTCGCCGCGGTGGACCACCGGAACTCTGCTTTCTGCACCTGCAGGGACTCTGCCTACAATCTAATCGAAGAACTGGTCGAACAAATGCTCTCATGACAAGAGAGCGGCTACTTTGTACTGTGGCCGCAGGAAGAGACAAGCCTGGACTTACAAGGGCCGCCACCCTATTCCGCAAGTCGGACATTCGAGAGCAGATTTGTTCCAACGCTCCAAAACTCCTAAACCGGAAACATCCGAAACACAAACTCCGAAATCCAGCGATCACGCACGCGATGTTTCTTCCTCGTCGACTCCATCGACGTCGCAGAAATCGTCCGATCGGGCAGCTGCACTGCGGCAGTCGTTTATCGTGGTACTGTTTGTGTCGTATCTGTATGTACTCTAACGTAATGTCGTATAGTGCAATGCCATGCAACGTTGTACAATGTACCGTGCTATGCTCTGCTTTATGATGTATTGCGACGTGGTGCTCTGCAAAGCAATGTCATGTACTGCGATGTGCTGTGTTGTCATGTGCTGTGTTGTCAATGTGATGTGTTGAAATGTGAGGAAATGTTGCTACGTAGCTACGAGTACAGCTTCTGAAGTTTCGATGTCTTCTCCTTGGCTGATAGTTGACATTGCTGATTTGAGTTTGGGTTTTCGCACGAGTAAGCACGAGCTGACGGGATTTTCCTGCACCACTTACTGCTCATGATCTCACGTTTCATGTCGAGACCTTTGCAAAACTCAGGTAATGTTCTGTTTTGCTAGCGCCGTAAGGCAGATGCAACCCTGCGACCGGCGACCAGTGTCCATCCTCGGACAGAAAGAAATTTGCAGCAGAAGTGACACCTGCGAGTTTCTCACTCATGCGGTACATGCCGCAGTTCGGACTTTCAAGCCGCGGAAAGTCATAACTGGTTTGAACCCTCTAGCAGCATCCAATTCTTAAGTCACAGAGATTACAAGTGCATCTGGAAGGGCCTAGCGGTCCAGAAACTCACAGCATGTGCAAGTCTATGCCGTCGCAGCACAATTGGGGATAACGTGGACGAATTAAACACAGCACGCTCGCCTGGGATAAAATGCTGTAGCGGTCGTGGACGGCTCATACCAGAGATTTGGAACACAACAGCTTTGCAACAAATACTGATTACAAGCCAGGTAAGAACGAGCGGCTGTGCCGTTGTGCACCCCAACAGCTTTTCGACGGCAGTGTGCCTCGTTGTGCTGGCTCCAGTTCGGCCGTGCACCGAGGTTGGGCCAGACTTGAGCCCCAGCAGTCATTGCTGCAGGGTTCCGCCCACCAGGTCCTCACTCCACCGTCATTTCGACCTGAAGACGGGCTGCTGTTTCGCTTGCTCTGATTCTTTACATCAAAGATACGCCTGCTAGTGAAACAGTGACTGCCGACATATCAACTGCTGCTTCTTCTCATATGCATCCTCTTGCTACTCTCACTCCCCGTCAGCACCCCCCCTACAACTGGAACCGGCACGAACGACAACCTCTGCCACGACGATAACAACGATGACTGCGACGAAGAAAACGACTCGAACGGTCGTGCTGAATTTCTGCGTTTGGGTATGCAGTGGTGTTGGCCGTGCCGTGTTGGTGGTGAAGGCGGTAGTTGCGGGGGCGTGCTGGCGGGAGGTGGCGTCGTCGGTCGTCATGGTTTTCTAGATCGTCGTCGTTGTGGTGTTTACCGTATTTGCCAACGTCGCGGCGCGTTGGTAATGGCAGTGGAGTGTCAACGGCATCTGGTTCATTTTGAGACCAAGCAGAGGCACTCCCAACCTGAAGGGCTTCGGCCGTGTAAGGAAAATGCCACAACGTCTGCTCAGGATTCTACCCTGCATTCCGAGGTGTTGAGAAATCATGCCAGACCATCAATAAGGAGTCTCAGCGAAACCTGGGTAAAGGATGGGGCGCATGACAGATGCGCTGCAATTAGACGTGCGGCAGCCTCATGTCCCAGGCCCTCATCCCCAAACCATGAACTGGAACTCTCGCGCCTTGCTTCCGCTGGCGACCACGATCTCGCTAATCATGCGGTCTGCCTTGATTCCCTCCTGTGAAGATGAATCTATGGCATCAAAAGCATCAGTTCTACCTAAATCCTGAAAGCAACCTTTCAAGCCCCAGCTCAAGATGATGCTTCAGTATATGTCTCTACGGAATCTGACTCAAGTCACGACATCCCAGAACAACTACTGGCAGCGCTGTAGGCTCGGGCATTCGGTCGCAGACTCTACTGTTTGTAGTTCAAATCGAAGGCCCACCTTTCGGACCCCCCTCCCAAACACAACACCCCCACAAAAGCCTAAAATGCCAAAGCCCCAACTCCCAGAATCGCAACATGAACTGACAAGCAGCTCAATACCTGACAGGCTTACTCGACAAATCAAAGCTCTATTCTTGGAAGAAACTGGAGGATTGTTGCGTGTAGAACCAGTATTGTGACAGCGTATTGCCGATGCGCTCTTGCACTTGGCATAACTTACAGACTTGCAATGGGCCTGCCTTCACCAGCATGCGCTTGATGCTCAGCACACGGCCGTGAGCATAAGGCTCACGCTTGTCCAGTGGCTCGCTTGGGAAGTCCTGCGACAACTATAGCATAAGCCCATCTCTTGTGTGTCTAACAACAGGGGCAGCTAAATCAGGGGGCTTCTGACTTGTCACATGGCCATGTAAGCTGTTGCTTTAGAAACCCGGCAGCTGCGCTTGAGCGAAACCTATGACTCCAATGCTCCAATTCCCAGCCTGCTACTTTCGATAAACTTGCAGGCTTTGGGTGCCAGTTCCCGGGCAAGAGCACGGTACGAAACCCGCCAGCTTACAGGTCTGCAGAGCTTGCGGTGCTTTTGCGAGATCCACGGGAGAGTCACAATGTCCTTTTCGAAGTCTTTCGTGAAGGCTGCCTCCGTGATGTGGTTGTTCCTGAGTAGTTCGCTTTCCGCTCGTTGGGCTTAGCTGCTGCTGCAGGAAGTGTGCCTTGTCCATGCTGCCTGTGGTGCCAATCCGGAACATGCACATCTCAGTCAAACTCCCCAGCATACCCGTAGTGCCGCTACATGCAATTTCACTTTCTCGGCCATATTCGCCCTTACGCTTTACGGACAACAAGGGGTTGAAGCGTTCATAGGCGCAAGTGTTGAAGGGGCTTCCCAGCTTCATACGGTAGAGACTCGGCCCTCAGTCGTCAGACCTGTGAAGATACCCTCCGTACCCTAGCCCTTACCCTCTCAAGGCGATCTCACAAGGTCCCTGCAGGCTACAGAATGGGGCTAGAAGCCGTAAACCTCCTCTATCCTCCCTCTGCCCCTTTTCTCTCGACCTCCTGTCCTATGGTTTCCTTTGCAGCCCGAGCTTAGAGAAGAGGGGTGGATACTTCGGGTACTTGCAGGACGCCATGAACACCGAAACAAAGGTCACGGCATCTTCCCTGCACTGCGGTCCTCAAAGTGATTGACATGCCCCTCACGCTTGGCTGTTGGGAGGTAACTGGAACGGTTAACTTTGAGATTTTAAGACTCTGCAACCCCAAGCCGCGTGAACTCAATCTTACCCTACTTACTTCCATGACTCTGGCACACCAAACCAAGGCGAGTCCTCAAATAGACAAGAACCACAAAATCTCGAACCACAAAGTTGCAACATCGAGCCTCATGCAGAGACCCAAAAAACTGGTGACCAGAATCAAAACTCAGAAAATCCGATAGTACAAGAACCATAACAACATATAGCAGAAACTACTGCAGCTACCACTCTCTTCTTTAACTTTAACGAATGCTATCAACATTGCTGACTGGAATCTGGCCGCGGCCGCTCGAGATGCCCTTCAGGCGGAGTGTCAGGGCGGGATGCCTGGGCTTTCGCAGCAGCACGGACGAAGTCAAGGCAGGAAAACAGCAAGAAGACAAGGAAGGATACTCATCAGAAGACCACTCTCTAGAGTTTCCTTGTTCCTACATCTTCCTAGTGATCGAATCATCCGCACTAAAAAGCAGCACGGGAGAGATACGAGGACGTATGATTCGCCACACAGCATCTAAAGGCAATGTTGGATGGGGGATGTCATCAATGTACACACATTTCTGCGTGTGTATATAAAAAATGACATGTATGTAGTACATGTATGTATGTATGTGAACAGGTATATACATGTACAACCTGCGTACCTACCTACCTCTTGCAGGCCTGCCAGTTAGCCAGCCAGCCTGCCTGCCCCTGCCATTCCTGCCTACATGCATACCCAAGTTCACGGTCTGGGCTTTAGTAGTAGTTCGGTGTGCTCACACGAAGCCTGAATGCCTAAATGCCTAAATGCCTAAACCATAAACCGAACAACTAAAGAGTGCCCAGCCACTTCTTCAGGATCGCGGCGACCTCCTTTAGCAGGACATGGTTCTCTTCACGCTCGGTCGCATCCCAGGCCTCGTGGTGCGTGTGGGCGGTTACAGGTGCAGGGTGCGCAGCTTGGGGCTTCGGTGCAAACGAGGGGGGCCCAGGGGTCTAAAAGCTTACCGAAGATGCCCTTGTAGAACTCTCCCGCAGAAGCGCTGCCGCAACATAACTTGTGCCCAAAGCCCTAATTTCCCCCCTAAAATCTCTTCCCCTAAACCCTAAACCCTTCAGTCTTAGGGCTTTAATTGGGGCCTGCTGCATCTTCTTCTCAATGCTTTCCTGGGAGTCGCTGTGTTGCCAGGAGTAGTCGTTGAAGACCTCAGCTAGGGTTCATAAAATTACGGGTTCAGGGGGCTTCCGGGTTGAGGGCTTCGGGGATTTTAGGGACTTTGGGGACTTTCGGCTTCAGGGACTGGAATCTACGGCTAGTTGGGGGTTTCCGAAAATAGGGGACCCTAATAGAGTACCCTAAATAATAGGATCCTCATTATGAGGACCCCAAAATAAGGTACCCCTTGTTTCCGGAAACTCCCAGTTGTAAGGCTCAAGGCTGAGGTGCCGACTTGCAGGAGCGAAACGGGCCAGAGTTTGGGAGGTAAGGCTTCAGATGGCTTTCGGGCCGCCTCACAAAAATCCGAAGAGCCGCCCTGAATCAAGAGCCGTCGTCCTATGAGAGCACTGGGATCTCTTGCTCTCGATTCTAGATCCAACCAGGCGCCGCAGATTCTGAGAGCACACCCAGGCCCGAGCTTTCTCCCTTGTCCAGATCGGTGTGTCTCGCCCAAGACCCCAACCTACCAAAAACTCGAAGCGAATAGCAACCCCGAATCCCTATGACCCCAGCCGTAGTTTTGCCGAAATTATGCAGCACGTCCCGATTGGGAATGAGCAAACTACGGGAGGCAATGCAGTTGTTATCTTCTTCCAGGGTTGACGACGTGGAGAAGGTGCCCTCAAACCCTGGGCCGTAGAAATGAACTCGCATGCGGCTGAGAGGCCACGGTCTTTCCTTGGAACAGTGACACAGATATGACGGAACGCTGTCCGAATCCAGAACTGATCTATCTGAATTCAAAGACCATGCTTCTCAAGCAGCCGCCTGCAGCATTTGGACAGCTCTGGTCTGGTCGGCGGCACCAATGCCATTCAATCATCAAGGATTGCCCCTCATGATGCAAGTCGAGCTACATCTGATCCGTGATGGAACCCAAGTTGGAGAAGACAAGAGATAAAGCTTCGACCTGCATCGTAAAATCCAAACGAGCCCTTGACAGTCGAAGGCCATCTTTCGATCACTCCAACATTTCTAACATACCAACAAAATATTCACGGTGGCAACAAACGACAATTTCTCAAGCTGAGCGTCCTGTCATGACCTTCTCGAGCTCTTCCTTACCCTGCTCCAGTTGCTTCTCCTTGGGTGGAGCCTGCACAGTTTAGAGTTCAGGATGTGGACAGGATGAGGGTTTGGGGACCGATGAAAGCTTGGGTCTTAGAATGGGCCGTTATCGAATATGCCAGGTGACAAGATCTGGGCAAAGGGGTCTTGCTCTGGCTCGCTTCGTGGTGCTTGGGGGGGGCCAGAGCTACAAGTGCGGTCATCTGAGGTGTGTCTGCCGTTTGAAACAGCAAGAGCGATCACACCAGGCTGGAAAACATGACGACGACTTGAACGGTTCGGCCTGAAACAAACAGAACGACGCTGTTCATTAACTATGACCCCGCAATCCATACCAGTATCCCAGGAGGGCGCAGCGATATGCCAATGGGTTCTGCTTGTTGTGTGGAGGCTGTTGCTCAAAAAGACGATGGCCGTTGTTGTTGTGGGTGGGGCCAAAAATGGGGCTTTCCAGAAATAGGGGACCCTAATATAGTACCCTAAATAATAGGATCCTTATTATAAGGACCCCAAAATAAGGTACCCTAATTTTCGGAAACCCCCAAATCGATCCCAAGTCTGCAGAGCATCACTGGACCGGAGCCGCCTGACCAATGGCATAGGCCTTCGGAGGAGAGTGCTGCTTCAGATCCATGCCGGCCTCAGTCGGGGCTGCGACCAAGCTTATATAACATATTATAAGTATATATATATATATATATAGATAATTTTATTTATTTACTTACACGCGTATGTATGTGTATATATATATATATAGATATATGTATAAGGGTGCGTATATATATATATATACACTTATTAAAAGTATATAACAGGCAGTGTTGGCACAGCCTCTTCATGACACAGGGAAGAAGGTGCTGAGCTGCACTCCTTGGCTCCTCCACAAGCATGAACTTGATGATGGTGATGAGAAGGAAGATAGCGAGAATGATTAACAAGACTGCCGTTGGCTGCGATGCAGGTGACATGCAGTGATGTCACCAATGCGATGATGATGGCGATGTCACAGAAAGACTGGAACCAAACCTGCAGCAACTCTGGACATGTTGGGGCTCCTTGCATGGGGATGACGATGCCTAATTTCGGCTGCTGAACCAATCGATTCCCCTGTGCTGTACTTCGGTGCTGGACTTCGAATGTTCCATGCGACAACCGCCCAACCGCAGGGTAGCAACTCAGATTCGAACCTCCTCCGTTTCTTCGTCGATGCGCAGCTTGCCTGTCATCCTGGGCTCGAAAGGTCGTGCCGTGCCCGAGGTTGGCTTAAGGACTCCACAATTCACATCTGCGACTTGGGACTTGGGACTTCGATGAGGCTGAACAGCGTGCGAAACTCAAAGCCCTGAACCGCCTCAATTGCTCCACAGGCCGGTGTTGCTCGTCTTGAGTAGATCAAGATGGAAGTAGTCGTGAATGAGCTATTCATAGTGACAGAGTGTTGCAACATCGCAGTACTCAACATAGCAACAACAAGGCCGCAATGACTGTGCGAAGAAAACTGAAACACGACCCGGACCAATGAACTACATAAGGTAAGACGTTATTGAGGTCGGAATATACAGCAAGAATGTCCTCTGATAGTCCCCTCATGATCATGGTATACTACACACCGACTTAATCTATTTATGATGACCCCTGGATTATTTTCAGGCTTTGGGAGCCCTTCACCCGTGCCCCAGGCGAAAGCTCCCCCGAAGGGATTGAGACAAAGGCGCTTCAATGCGAAGAAGGCGAGACCGGAAAGAGTTCCGGCCCAAGCGATGATCACCAGCGCCTTGTTGGGCTGCAATCGTTTTTCAAGGGTTTAGGGGTGTTACGGTTTAGGTTGTGGGCCCGATGTCTACGCGCGCCTTCACCTTCTAGTTGAGATTCGGGGCACAAAGCAACAAGTTGGAGCGCCGTCTAGCGATTCGGGTTCGGTGAGTTGAGCGTGGCTTTCGCATACTTGTACAGGATGAAACAGGAAACTCCAGTGCTGCGATTCCCAGGACTACCGGAACCGCACTCAAACCCAAGCCATGCAGCTCACTTCAGCCTGCAGTCACTCTCTGACTCTCTGGTAGTCCGAGCTGCCATAATCGCCTGTGCAGCAATAGCTCTGCCGCCGATAGCAGTCATGCAGGTCGGGTCGGAGTCGCTGACGGGCCTCGTGAATGTGTTTTTGCGTATATCTGAGGAATGAAGGCTTTAGCGGGCTTTGGTGATGTAGGGTTATTGCAGGCTTGTCAGCTTGTCAACGGCCTTCTCACGGAGGCACGAGGTCATGCTGCGTGCGAGTAGGTGCCGCTATTCTGGTTTGCTAAAGCATATCGACCATCAAGGAGCCGTTGACCCTGAGTGCACCCTAAGTTCATTGCAAGTGACACCTGAAACGTATCAGCCACACACATGCGACGCAGGGATTCGGAATGAGGGCATTTTTGCAACCCCAAACCCAAGACAATAGTTCTACCCTCAAAGCATCTCATCTCAAAACCGAGCTGTTTGGATCTGGACCCCATGAGTTCCTCAACCGACGGTCCCTCACGTAGTCTCATGTCTCTCAAACGTGGGATCTGAAATCTGATCCGCGGAATTTCCAAACCCACAAGAGAAAGGCAAACTATTTCGACTTCCCACCAGCCCAAGCTAATTTTCAAAGACAACATCCACCCAAGTGATACGCCGTGTATTTAAGCACTGAGCCCCGAAACCCCCAAAGTGAAACCCTAAACCCGAAACTATCAAACCCATCACCCGGGTCCCCGACTTGCAGCTGAATCCATTCCAGGCGTGGTAGTGGTCAAAGCCCTTCCCCCAGTCGAAAAGGCCTCCATGCGGATGAATGAGCAGAGGAAGCAAAAAGGGTTACATTCAGAGCTCTGGGCTTTGCTCTTCAGGGCTTTAGGGTTTGTGGCTCAATTTGCGGGATGAGATGGACGAAGGTTTAGCAGCTTAGCAGTTAGGCTCTAGGGCTTCACTTTAGGGCTTCTAGCACGTTCGTGTCCGTGTCCACGCCACCGTCGACACGGAGGGTGCTTTGCTAAGCCTAACCTGCTGTGCGACATTGACTGGCTGAAGTAAGCAAGACTTACTCGGGTGTAGGCCAGCGCAGGCGCTTTCGAGCGTACTCATTGGGCCGCACTTCTGCGAGGTGGCAAACGGATGCCCGCTAACCCCTTGCAGAGCCTGCTGCGAGCAAGCCCCAAACGCCGCAGAAGCCATGAACAGGGCTCGCATCCACCTGGAGTCCCAGGCTGGTGGCCTGAGCCTATGTTGTGGTGTGAGTGAGTGAGCGAGTGAGCGAGTGAGAGTGTGAGTGAGTGGGTGAGTGTGAGCGTGTGCGCGCAAATAGGAGGTGCTCATATCTATATCCATAACATCTTTAGCTATATTCCATATCTGTATACACATACATGACTGTAAGAAAAATTTACTGCAGGTGAGTGGAGGGCTCCCCCAGTTGGGGGTATCAGTTCTGCATCCTATCAGCCCTATTCTGCTCCCTAAGAGGGTGTCCTTGATGTGGCAGACACAATATTCTCGGCTTTACTCCTCACAACTTCAAGCATTCGGTGCAAAACATATACATGCTCTCGCGACTCCGAACCAAAGACACATTTCTACTCCGAACCCCGCATGCTCTCTTGCCAACGACGACTCATCCAATTTATTTAGTTGCTGGCGAGCTTTGCTACAGACTACCTTCACAATATGCCTTGCCAACCAAGCAAGCAAACAAACTAACAACCAACCAAGCAATCAAGCAAGCACACAAACAAACACAAATAAGCAAGCAAGTAAACAAGGAAGCAAATAACCAACCACACTATCACACAAAACATGCAACCAAACACGAACAAACAACCAAACAGACAACCAACCAACCGAGCAAATGCAAATCCAAACAAACACACAAACATACACGCAGGCATGTCCATCCATCCATCCATCCATGCCTGCATGCATATATATATATATATACACACACACCTATATATGCACCCACGCGTTTTCTTCACGCTCATACACGTAATTCTGTATAGTTGTTGTACTTTGAAAGTTGCGGTTGCCCTCTTTAGATCTCAATTCAAGGTTTCCTACGACCATGCTCTGGTGCTCTTGGGCTGGGGACGCCGAGCAATAGCTCCATGGACAGCAGGAGAGTCGGGTATGCCGCAGCACGTAACATTCCAACTTACGCTGTTGGGCCATCCGAACCTCGAGACTTTTTGAAGCGTCGGACTGTTTGAATGTTGGGTATTCCAGGGGCGCCACCACGAGTCATCCCGAATGTCTCCAATTACCAGCACTCCGATGCGTGTGTGTACAGCGTATGTTAATGCTTGTTCCAATTGCTTTGACAAGGGTCGGTGTTCCCAACGGCCCAGAACAAGCCGATGCAGAAGCACCCTCCAACATCGACAGACAGCTCTCCACCGATTTATCCCGAATTTACGCATTACCCGCAACCTGAAAAGGGTTTAGGGTTTAGGGTGTGGTAAAGAAGTCCAAAGATCCAAGCCGGTAGTAGACCTCATGCACATCATCTAGACCAACTCAGCCTTCAAGCCCAAGGCCTCAATCCTGGAACCCCATACACTCAATTTTGAACCCTAAGCTTGAAGCAGGAGCAACCGACGGCTGAGAAACCCGTTATGCAAAGCCAGAGAGCCGGATCATCAATCTTCAACTTCTGGAGCAACATGGACGCCCCCTGAGCCAGAAAGAAACTTCAGTCCGGAATAATTGGTTCGGCATTCTGTGATGTCCTTTCGACGTGCATGTTAGTTGTGGTGCTTTTTTAAACCAGTTGTGCATGTAGATTAGACAGCTGAGAGATAAAGCTCGCGTTTTGCTGTTCCAAGAACGCTATTAACTAAATCTCATCCACAATCATCTCGCACACAGCCACATCACATCCCGGGTCACTAAAGGCACGGCAGGACAGTCGTAAAAATGGCTCGGTCTCAAACCCTTCAGCTGCCCCTGCAACCAAAACATATGCAAGTGGAAATCGCAGCATTAGTGGTTCATACAGAGCTATTCAGCCGGCATTTACCATTCGGCCCAGCTTTCTTGACATTCCGGCGAGACCAGCAATATATAAAGAAACTTCAATGAACCAGAAGGTGCAAAGGAGGAGCCAGACATGCAAGCCCGAATAACAACAACATCACGGGAATATGCAGAAGGCAGAAACCTCCAAGAGGATGCTTAGAAGAGATTTAAACTACAGAAGCTGGATAGGACAGTAGCTTGCACCTCATCAACACCCGCAACCTGATGCCGATGCTAGCGACAAAGGCCGACCGGAGTGGGTGCTTGTGGGGTAGCCTTCCGGAAGCTATCCTTGGCTACAGTGCCATGTAATTGGGTTTTTGGGTTGTCGTCTGGCATAATCACACGGGAACTCCATGACTACCTATTCAAACCCCTATTTTCAACTTAGAACCCTTCGTGGCTGGCCTGGTAGACGAGGGCTCCGATGAAGCCAATCGCAAAGGCACTGCCGCACTCCACGTTGCCTTGTCCAGGAACCCTGGAAGACCCCAAAGTTACACCAGAGCGACTTGTTCTAAGCCAAAGACACAAAGCTCACAAGCAAGCGAGCAGCTACTCAGAACCCGGACCCTGTAACTCAAAGGGAAAAGGACACCATTCACCTTCCAGCAGCCCTTGCACATGTTCCTAAACAGTGAGAAAATGAGAAAAATCCAGGCAGCCGCAGGGGGCCGTGATCGAGACAAGTCCGGCAAGAATGCCGTTGCCTGGAAAAGCGTTCGAAGGTGATTAGGGGTTTAGGGTTTAGGGTTTAGGGTGTAGGGTTTAGGGTTTAGGGTTGCGCTGTTGGGTCTTGGGCTTTGGGGGGTTTAGGGCTTTTCGGCTTGGGGTCACTAGGCCTTTTGAGCTTTTCTTGTCAGGATCGGGCTTTCCTGTGTGGTTAGGAAGTAAGGGTCCAAGGGTTCAGCATGCTCAGAAGTCTTGGAGCCTTTGAAACACCTGATCATTTGATCCCATGACCCAAAGTCGTCCAGGCATACGAAAAGTCACGTAGACCCTTTTCAGAAGGGCCAAGTTCCGAGACTGGACATAAACTTTATGCCAAAAAAGGCACTAGGAGGACCGCGACAGAACCATGCCCTCTTCGACATAGTTACTGGCATATTCTATCCCAGAGCCAAATCTGAATACCACTCCCCAGGACCACTGCCATCCCCAACCGACACAGCACTCCTGGAGCCCAGCCAATAAAATCCTAGGGCCTAAAAGAGGGGCCTTCGACAATTAACATAGGGTTTTAGGGTATATTTATAATTTAGAATATACCTATATTAAGGACATCAAAATGGTAGAGGCAATTATTTAGGCCCCTATATTAAGCCTAAGCCGGTCCCAGTGACAGAGGCCACCGACATCGTACCTTGGCATGTCAGAGCAGAAGAGCAGATCCAGTATCAAGGCTGGACTCATGATAGCAGTGGGGACATTCCTACAGACAACGACAACGCGCAGCACAGCAATAGCACCTGCTTACGACAGCAGCAGCGGTCGTACGAAACCTAGTGCGCGCACGAACCAGTCGTGGCATTTAGCATCGTATGCTCTCGAGCAGCGGCCTAAGGGGTTGAGACCGGTCTGGGATGTACACACGAGCTGGTGCTGGGCTCAGGTTCACACACTCACCGAACAGAGCTGAAGACTTGGCCTTCTTAGGGTTGAGTTTTGAGCTCTTTTGCTGATCTCTTCTATCCGTCAGGACGGGAATCCTGGGAGCTTTGTTGCTTTCGACATGGTTGGATCAGTTGGATCTGGAGGCGCTGCTAAGCTTTTTGGGGCCCGACTCATACTTAGGACTGCGCGCTTCCCTACATTCTACGACTTGATTGGGTGCGGGGTGACCTTTCTGAAGACCATCGGGACGAGGGATACACATCTGGATTCAGAGAGGATCGACACTATGCCGCGCTGCCTAAGCTGCCGTCCACCGCTTGAATCTGCACCCCGAGTCCCTAGGCCCAGAACCCCAAACTGCAGTCCCCGATGCTTCTTGTAGATGCCAAAGCGGAGCATGAAGACCTGGGATTCTTGTTTGTGTTGGTCCAAAGGTTCACCGCTTCGGGTTGAAGGCTTCGGCCTTTAGGTGGTGTGTAGAGACCCAGGGTTCGGGTTGTGAGCTCTGGGTTTGAGGGTTTAGGGGTTTGTCCCTGGAAGTTCAGGGTTTCAGGGCTTTGGAGTGTTTTGGAGCGTCAACACGTGGAAAGCGGCTACACATGTGCAATGTGCAGGGGGTGTTCAAGCTAGAGTACTGTTTGGGGGTTCTTATCATGAGGATGCTACTATTTGGGGTCTAGATTTGGGTCACTCACTCTGTGAATGTGGAAGACTCAGGGGCTGTTCACCTTGGGTTGTGGGCTGTCGGTTGTGGAGCTCATGCTGCATTTGACTGGGACTCAGAGCCCAGGCCTATCAACACGAACAGGGTTGCGGTTGCTCTGAGTTCGATAACATAACAGCAAGCACGATGTGCAAGACCAACTGCTGGGCGCAAATCACACCAAACACACGAAAGGCCACTCCACGCAATCCCGGAATCCCTGCAGCTACGTGCCCTCAACTCCAGGTATCCCCAAACCTCTGCAGCTTAAACCCTGAATTCGAAGAGCCCCGAAGATTCGCCTCTTCGGAACGACGAGGAGCCACATCATAAATCCCACACCCACCCAAACCGGGCTGCTAGGCCCCACAGCCAGGCAAGAAACCGTCAGGCCACCAGTAGCGGCTGAGATGGTCGTGTTCATGGCCACCTGCGATGAGCGTTTCGATTGTGAGCGATCGGACCAAGGCTGCGACAAGGCTTCATGCTCAGTCTTAGCCACAGCCATATTCCAAAGTCGTGTGGTGGCAACAAAAGAATCAACGACCGACAGCACATAATTACGTCGATGGCTTCGCACACGTCAACCCCTCATTTGCTACAATGAATTGCTTGGAATCACACCCGTTTCTCGTGGGTGTTGTAGCTGGTATTGTCGTTCCTCCGCTTGTTGCATATGCTGTTGTCACAGAAGTCTTTTCTGCTCTTGCATTCGTCGGGCTTGCAGTATGCTGGTTGTCAATGCTGCTGTCAACTGCTGCTGCTGCTGCAGCTGCTGCTGCTGATGTGGGTATCCGCGTTGCTTTTTCGTGATTACTGATTAGTGCCCCAAGTGCTGCCGCAGTTCACACAACGTAGAACGCAACGTGCTGAGACGAATATGGTCATTGCTGACAACACTTATGTTACTAACACCAGATGAAAGCAAGCTTAACCACGCTTTTGGTAGTCAGTGTCGGATGCTATCTCTCGCAAATGGCAGGCTGTGGATATTATTATGCGAATCGCCAGTGATTACAACCACTTTGACTTAAACTGTCTCTGTTCATTCTGGCACTGCAGTCGCTGTCTTGCTTGTTGTTATTGCTTCACTGTGAAGCGTATGCCTGCAAACGCGGACTTTCAGTGTTTTGCAACAAAGAATCCATATGGGGACAAAAGCTACTTTTCTGTGAAGTCGAATGCTATGCCGGTCGGGCAATCAGGGTCGCGCTCAAGGCTTGCATTGTCGATGAGCCCTATACTCCAACCTTCCATCCTGACCCTAAGGAAGCTCCCCACCTGAGCGGCCATTGCACCAGTATCGCCAGTGTGCATGCCGAGGGTGGATCCCGGGTTGAAGCCATACCAGCCGAACCTAACGACTTCAGATGGCTGCCGGCGCACACCCGTTGCAAAGATATACTGTGACAACGGCTTGGATTATGGATCCCCATGTGTTTCCTGTTCAGGATGCTGTGCTTGGATAGCATGCGGGGTTAGGGAGCTAGACGCTCCATACAGTTTCAGACTATCAGTCTCGAATGTGTGTGTCTCCGACCGCTCTTCAAACCTCAACTCAGGGCGTTTGGCGCTGTAGGGCTTTGGGGTTTTATTTGAAGAGCTGAGACCCAATACCCCGAAAGACGGATCCGCCAGATGCGTTGTCGCTTGCATGCAAGGAACCACAGCGCGAAGGTGCCCAACACCACCAAGGGCAAATTATGAGGCTCGAACTCCTGACGCGATCTCGGAGCGACTCAAAACTTGAAGTCCAGGCCTGGATGCCGGAATGAGCTCCAAGGTACTCAGACTCATAATATCTCATAATCTCAATCCCTGTCCAACACGGACCTGTTTTTTTTTTTCGGCCTGCTTGGGTTTACCATTGAGACTGGTGATTTGTCTGCACAGGTCGAAGAGGTGCGCCATCTTACAATTGAAAGGAGTTGTCTTGTGCTGGCTTAAGGGACAAAAGGCATGGTCAAACTTGTTTTGATGAAAGTAGCTTTCTTGTCGTTCGGACAAGAAGAGACACCCCTGGCGCTATTTGTTTGAAAGGGGTCCAGGGTCCGGCACTGTCAGTTGAAGATGAGATTTTCGACTTCTTGTGCAAGAAGTCTTGGGCACCAAACTCAGGCATGAATTCGCCATGGCCAATTCTGCCTTTTTCAAGCATGATGCTCCGATCTCTCTCCGAAACCCCTGATTCATAAACTCCTCTCCCTTAAGAGGGATCTTGATAAAGGCTTTGAAAGGGGATCCTGAAAGGCGTGTTTTTTTTTTTTTTTTTTTTTNNGGTGTATTATACTATAACTATAATAAGGAACCCCCCAAAATAGTAGAGGTAAGTATTAAGGCCCCCATATTATAGCGGAGAAGGAGAAATCGAGTCCTCCGGGTTCACGAAGCGGCCAGTGCGAGGACCGAGGACGATGGTCCCAGCCAGGGCACTCACACCTAAGAGGATGATGGTGAGGGTTTAGGGTTTAGGGTTTAGGGTTAAGGGTTTAGGGTTTAGGGTTTAGGGTTTAGGGTTTAGGGAGGGCTGAAGCTTTTTTTTGTCGCCCTTTTCCACCTGCCTGAGTTAGTTAGGTCGAACGCCACTGTTGGCCGAGGCTTTGTCTGCTTCCCTCGACACCCATTAACGGTTTAGGGTTTAGGGTTTGGGGTATAATACAATTATAGTAACGTATCGTATAGCATGGCATAGTATGTGAAACCATATGAAAGTCTATTGTTATAGTGTAACATATGATAATACAGGTTATATAGGGTCATACAGCGACTGCAAGGCAGACCTTCGGTCTGCATTCGGGGTATCCGAATTCAGGGGATGTAGACTTGATATAGCACAGAGTTTTAAGTAAGTTTAGCGGAGCTTTCACCGGCGAGTTGGCTTTTAGGGCTCGGACTGGGCTCAGCTCTAGCTTCGTCGGCTTGGGTGCAGCGTTGTGCGATTCGCTTGAGGGTGCGTGGTCAAACGCCGTGAAAGCGTTATCGCAAACCAGCAGCTTTTGGGCGAATTACATGCCCAGGTGAAGCAGTTCATGGGCACTACAGATCATACTGATGCTGCGCAGCCCCACTATCCCAAACAAGATACTGAAATTCTCGAAACCTTACAGTGCCCCACCTCCAGTCAGGTGGACAATGCCGCTGCCAGCAAAGTCCATGTAGCCTGCTGACAACGTGACACAGGATTAGTAGCAGCAAAACCAACCCATATGCTACCCTACAGGCGCGCACTTAGTATTGACGAGGCTGCCAAAGTCCATGCAGCGTTAGAATTTGGTGCGCTGTTGACAACCTGACACGGGGTTATGCAACCTGTGCGCGATCTGGTCGCAGCCAGCTTATAAACTTGCTGAAACGTGTTACTGTTGCATTGTGCATGGTCCTCTTGTCGTGTCTCGTTAAAGACATTGCAGATCAACCCAAGAGAAACGCTCGAAGACGACGTGCTACTTCAGACGCACAGTGCGGAAGGGCGATAAGGGCCTGCGGGCAACCAACGGCCTTACCTGTTGAATCAAGCACTTGTGCGTTGGAAGTTTGAGTATCCCACAACTCCCCAGCCACAGCCGTACTTCATGATGTGAGTATGCATGTTCAGCCCCATGGAGCTCAGAAGAATCAACGCGAGTCGAGGATTGCGAACAGATCTCACTTCTGAGAGCTCTAAGAGCTCTAACACCTTGAACGGCAACAGGTCGAGCTGCAAGCTGCGACTTGAAGCTGCGATTTCATGTCAAGTGCACACTGGGCCTCTCAAGACGTAGTGACGTTGACTTGTCTTCTCTTATGCTTCGCTTGCGCCCGAATGCCGCTCTTTCAACACTTCGTCTCCTGCAACTCCCACAAGATCATAAGCCGAACAATGAGAGAAGACTACAGAGAGAAGTCGAACAATGCCCTCGAACTTCTGTTGATAAATTCCGTCCGTGCTGCCCACATCGAAGATGGTGTCCAGCCAGCCGTAATTCCATGTCCAGGCCACTACCACCGGGTAGATGAAGCTCGTCATGACTTGGATACATATCGCGATAGCGCAATCAGCACACAAATAAACAAGCATGATGCAGTAATTATGCACATAAGTACCCCTATTATCGACAAGCTCGTGCTGTGCTGTCTCTGTTCCACTGCAGAGGGACGGGACCGAGCTGTAAGAAGAACGCTCAAGGTCGGAAGTTCGGAGGCTTCGGGTTCGTACACCATGCAATTCTGCAGTTTTGAGGGCAGCAGACTCCATCCGCGGGCCTAGATGAACCAGGACCACGACCGGTTTCCTTCTCTACCATCGCCGTCCAGGGCACCGAAGGCGTAGGCCGCATAGGTAGGGCTCCTTTGGTAATGGCTGCCGGACTGAAGGCTTCGGTGTTTTGCGGGCATACAAGGTTTGACGATCTTGGAGCTCTCCAAGTGGCTTGTTGGGTTTCAAGGTTCCGCAGGGCCGCACCTACGACGAGATCGACCACACCAAGCAAAAGAACTGGCTAAAACAACCGGACGGCAGGCGCACAAACTTGGCCCACTGCCTATTAGCGTGGCACAATCTGCTTCTATCCACTGCGGACCCCAACTCGCCACTACGACCGACCACCTCACCAGAAACCTTGCATGCCTGAGCCCTTGGCATGAAGTCCTTGGGTTCAGGATTGTGGATTCATGTTGCATCCATTCACTACTCGGTGAGGCAGGTGGCCCTGCTTTGGCTCTGGGCTCTTTCCCGTAGGAGCCGGCCCAAACGAAGACTTCCTGCACTACTCACGATCCCGCACTGATTGTTACTAAGACCAGCTGAGACTCTTCACACGCTCTGCCACACCACCGCTGACGATGGTGGCACCAGCGGTGCAGAACGCCCACCTGTGACATATTTCACGACCCGGCCTGCGCAGGTAAAGCCACATCTCACACCCCGGAAGCGGAACATCGACATCCCGACAGCTGCAAAACCCCACAGCTCCTGCAAGGAGAAAACCATCCGATGAAACCACAAAAGTTCCACATACCCCTGCAAAACACGAGTGCCAAAGCCACTGGAAGAACCAGCTAAGCCTCAGGAGAACAGTGGGTGTTCATTGCTTCGGCTTGTGGCTTCACCCTTTTGCAAGAGCTTTCAAGGGTTCAGGGATGTTCAGGATGTGGCTATCCGGCTCGGGGCCTAAAGGTCGAATCAATTCAGCTTCATCAGGATTCCAGGTTCACCAGAGATCTCTCAGGATCAAGACTCGTCGCTCGAGTCGTGACCTCTAGACACCCCGCTGGGACGATGACACGATCGTGGCTATTCTGCTTACCTACGATACTTCTTGCCGAATGCTGCTTAGGACAGAGGTACTGCAGCCATGCAACTGCTGCTGCCGTTCTTGTCATCAGAACTAGTTGTCTTCATACCTTCGCGGTACCTTCATTGCTTGTTGCTGTTGCTGCTGTTGTGCCTGCGGCAAATGCCGTTCCTTGCTTTAACTTGTGCTTTATGGTGCATGTGTGTGTGTGTGTGTGTGTTTCGCCCCCGTTTCTATTGCTTCTGCTTGTGGCGTCGTCGTCGTCGTCGTCGTCGTCAGAATAGCGATCACGGTGGCACCAGACGGAACAACACCCGCCAGTTATCAAAAGGCCAGCAGCATGGTGCTCTGGCATCCATCCGCATCACAGCTGTTCGGCGTGATGATGTCATTGGCATCCTGTGCAGCAGGGCCCGTATTTCCAGAAAGTACTTGCCTTATTGGGGAGCGAATGTCATTCATCCCCTGCGCTCTGGGAAACATAGACACACACACACACACTCTCTTTCTTTCGCCAGGGCTAGGGGTAAGGGAGAACAAGTCCCCCTCACCTCTCTCTCTCTCTCTTTCGCCAGGGCTGTGGGCAGGAAGGTTGCACCCCCTGCCCGCGCGCGGGTGCGCCCCCGACAGTTGCGGGTGCCATTGAACAATGCGGGCACGCAACACCGAGGCAAACTTGCGCGTGCAAAAAGGAAGACAGGGAATATCTCTCTCTCTCTCTCTCTCTCTCTCTGTCTCTCTCTGCAAAGCTTCGCATGTCCAGTATGTCAGCAGCCACTGGTTCTCGCACGATTGCAGTGGGCAACATGGCATGAGGAAGCCTCAACATCAAGCAGGAAATGGGGCTGAGCGCTTTCCTGAACAGCTTACCGAAACTACATGGTGCACTCCTCTTCCTTCTTGTGTCCTCAAGTTTATGAACTCAGGGCCTAGAGCCCGAAGGGAAATTGCGGCAGCCTTCGTGTAGAATCCGAGGCCGAAGAAGCCGTCGGTGCCAATGAAGCCTGGCGCTCTTTCCAGCGCCGACACTTAACTTGCAGGTCTTGGGGTTTAGGGCTTAGCGTCATCGTTGAGGGTGCCATCTGGGCAGACCCAATAACTCCCTTCTGTAGAGTCGGAGCAAGTCTTACTGCAAGCCTGAAGAGAGATCTGGCTCCAATTCCATCCACTGGCTACCAAGTCGCATCGCCCTTGCTGGAACCCCAAAAGGAAACACTCGTTTGAAGAGAATCATCCTAGGCGAAGTTCAGAAAGCCTCCAGAAAGGGTGCCATACGCGAATGCCTTGGTGAAGAGGGACTTGAGAGGAAGGCGAAGTCTCACAGGCACTCACTGGTTTATGCCCGGTTGTTGGTTGCAGATCTCCACATAAACTTCGAAGGCCAAAGACCTGACTTATTGGGTTGAAGCACTCCACTCATCCCGGTCATCCCGGACTCACAACTGAACGATACGTAGAAAACAGAGCTAGCTATTCTTTCCCTTCTGAACTGCATTCGAAATTGGGGTCACTGGCCTTGCTTGCCAATTACAAGGACTGAAGCAGAAAACTGCTGTGGAACGACAAGCTCATAGATAATGGTAACGTGCCGCTTGCATGCTTACCGTCGGCAAGGGCATTCGAGACGGCACTTCTCGTTCCAGAACAACGTGCATGCCAGTGATCCGGGCATGTTTTCTGTTGGAATGTGCATTCACACCAGCGTGTCCTGTTCCAGCAACAGCAACAGCTTGGAATTGTGAATACACAACCTCCACCAGGAAACGATGCGACAACCCTGCCCCAACGTCCATCGCACTTTCTTGATCCGGAAGTCTACCATGGCATAAACAACCCCAGAACATGAAGCAACCTCAACACCCAGATGCACACTTAGACACGCACGATCTGAAATACAAGGTCTAGTCTAATCTTCCTTGATAGCAGCTGCATAAGCACAAGATGCTGATTTCTAAACTTGTAGAAGTTGAACTATTTCGAGCTTTCGGGTGTGTAGCTTTCGCAAGCCTTGACAAGCCGGCCGGAAACCGGCAAAGACAGTGCTAGTCAAGCTTCAACGCCTTAACTTCAGAATGCAGGATCCGAGGACCCCAGGTTTGCTTCGGGCAGGGCGGTGTTGAGGTTCCAAGGGCGCCAATACTCATGGGTAGTTATAAGATTTTAGGGTTTAGGGTTTAGGGGTTATAAGTAGGGTTCTAAATCCCCTTATATGGGTTAGAAGTATAGTTATCCTACGTATAACCTTACTTATAAAAACCTTCTTTAGTGGTCCCTGCAGTGCTGGACGAAGGGCCCAGCCAAAGACCCACCAGCCGATGGTGCCGAAGGTGACGTTGACCAAGTTCCTTCGGATTTCAACGGTGCACGCTTGGGGGCTTTACGGTCTGGGTTTAACATGGTTTAACTAGGAATCATGGACTCTATTCTTGTTGACATTGATGTTGCTCTTGTTCTTCTTGAGGGTGGTGGTGGTGGTGGTGGTGCTGCTGCTGCCCTCACAAAGTTCCTCCTCTGTTTCTGCTTCTGGCTGTGCTTGCAGCTTCGCAACAAGATTTGTTGACGTGGCATCGCTGGCGCATGCATGCTGGACTTTTTCGATGCAAACCTCTCAACAGCAAGCCCCACAAAAACCTAAAACCGCAACTTTCAAGCCGGAAGCCTGAAACCCTAAATCCCTAGAGCCCCTCCAAACCTCAAAACTCGAAACCCCCACAACTACTCCCCTAAGCCCTAAACCCCAACATTCCGAACCCTCAAACCTCAACGTCACAAGCCCTACCCTGCACCCTGAAACCATAAAGCCCAACAGCCCGAACCTCAAAAGTCTAAACTCTACACCCTGAGACCCGACCCTGAAACCCTCAAACCTCAACGCTCTGATCCCCACACCCTGAAACCCTTGAGCTTGAAACCCTAAACTCGAAAGCCACGAACACCCGCTCCGAGGCTCTTCATCAGCACGTTTGAGGCATTCTTTGCTCGGCAGGATCCCGTCTCCAACATCGCGAAGCCAGCATGCATGAACATGACGAGGGCTCCTGGGGTAGTTGTAGGGTGTAGTACTTCAGGGATTGAGGGCTGCAGGTTTCTGGGTTCAGGGATGTCAGGGTTCATGGGCTTCAGGTGTTCTGGCATGCCGCTGCCCGGGTTTACGATTCGCGCTTCAGGGTTTTAGGAATGGGTCCAGAGCACTGCAGATTGGTGTCCAGCGGCTTAGGCTTGAGAGCTTCGGATACTGGGATTTGGGTGGTTTTCGGTTTCAGCACTTCGAGGCTGCATCCAGAGTTCGGGGTCGTGCACGATAAGCTGTGGCGTCAGTCAGACAGGCCGTTCTGGCACGCAATGTCTTCATGCCTTACTGCAAGCCCTTCTTTAGAACAGCTCTACTGCAAGAGTTGCAGCTCTTAAGCTTCTTCAACTGACTCCCTACATCCATGCCCGAAGACGGAAGAAACACTCGGGAGACGTCGCTGGCCCCTGCAGCACAGCTCTCATCTATTCAACAATATTCACAACACTAATAATGAAAATACTACTATAATAATAATAAAGCTGAGCTGCCGTGTCCCTTGACTGAAGTTTTCAGATGTCATCATACTTTGCAAGCTTAGAAGCTGCAACGACCAAAGCATCGAGCTTGAACATTAAAGCAAACCCCGAAACACGACCTAATCCCAAAGCCCCACATCCCAAACTCGACGCCAGAGCCCTGCAGTCATTGCCCAAGGCACCGCAGAGGCAGAGCCAGGCTGAATCCATGGCTCCACCAAGGCTGTAATCGTCGGCCTTGAGCTGCGCGACCTCTGCTGGAGAGCTTGGAGTGGATCTTCGGATTTAGGGTTCGGCCGCTTCGGGTTCTTTCAGCGGTCTGGGCCTTCAGATGCCTTTAGGCTTCTGGCTTTGAACCCTGTCTGCCCAACCCCTGGAGCCCCTGAAACCTGTCAAATACCTAAAGCCCGGATAGGTTCGAAACCCAGATCTTCAGCTAGAATTCATGCAATATTGCTTTGGGACTTGGGGGGTTCGAGGAATCTCATGCTGATCACGCAGCCGTCGTATCGTAGTCCGTCTGGCTGAGGTAGGTCTGTAGACGTCGCGATCTCAGCTGGAGCTTCGTGCAAGACTCGGAGTAGTACTTAATTGTTGGATTCGTTTAGCGAACTTAGACTTTTAACTTGGATCTCGAAATCAGACCGTCGTGGCTTCCTGATTTTCAAAAAGATCCCGACATCGGACCCCTCTGCGATGTGTGTCCACAGCCGTACAATGTTTTCATCCTAAATACGACCGAATCACAGGCTCAATGCCTTACACCATCTGCCCAACAACCGACCATGGCCCTTGGCCTGCTCTGAGACCTCGAGCCACGCAAAAACCGATGTCTTTAAACAAAAAACAACTCGAAGCCCGAAAGAAAAAGCAGGCTAAGGCCGTGGAGAAGCTGAGCATACGAGTCCAACTTGGAGGCCTGGTCGCTGATCAACTCCTTCTGGGCCTGCACCTGCAGGGAGCACCATGTGTAACGCAGGAATTACTGGTAACTGGGAACTAGCAATCCTATAAGCTCTAAGCATTCGGAATGTTGGCGAAAAGTGAATGCGGCGCCCCACCTGGATTCGAGGAAGGCGACTCCATGAAAAGTTTTGGACGAAAGCTAGGGGTCGATATCAGGACCAGGAGCAGGGGCTTTAAACCACAGGGATTTCTGGTTCACTGTGTGTTTTTCAAACTTCAACTTTTGGTCACTGATCGAAATCCGAGGTCAAGGAGTGTCGATTCTGTTTGGTTTTGCGACTTGTGTTTTGGGAATGGGGCCTACGCAGCAGTTTGTCTGGACTCAAAGTTGCCCAAGTCTTCTTCCTTCCACCATCTCTGACGTAAGTCATGGAAACACACCCAGACAGCCATGCTAGCCATTTGTCTTGTCCATCCGTGGTGCAACAATGCTATTGGTGGCAACATGGCACGCCTCATTCATAAATTCAAGCCGCCCATGTAAACTGGTACATTGGTATGAAACAGCACGTGTTTTGGAGTGTAGACATGCGTGCTTGATCATTGTGTTCTGAAGTGGCCATGCCCAGAAATCAAGCACGCAAGCCTACTTCGAGTTGCACATATGTACATACCATACGAGGGGAGATTTCGATCGGGAAATCTAAGGCATCGCATTGTGTTCCTGCGTATACACATATGTATAGTGTACATATTCTATAAGAACATATTCGTGCATACGTGCGCAGCAACCTTCGGTACGGAACAGCTTTGTGCAGACCCGAAGAGATATGATTAGCCCGGTCACGCTGAATCAACAGAAACGAAGCTTGCATGTTGCATCTGCTTTCTCGCCAACTCGGGTTAGCTGAGTCGTACTTAAGATCGGACCATCTAGCTTCTAGTCAGCGGCGCCTCCACACGCAGGGCTTCCTTGGATACTGCGGCGCTGACGGCTTAAAGCAATTGCTCAAATCATGTGCAGCAGATGATACAGCTGATGATCTTGATGCATGTGCCGGAATGATGAAGGTAATGTATGTAACCTAACAGGCATGGTGCCGACGTCTCTCATCACCGGCAGCATCCTCCTGCTACTCCTACTCCTACTCCTACTACTCCTACTACTACTCCGACAACAACAACAACAACTACTACTACTACTACTACTACTACTACAGCTACAACTACAACAACAACAACAACAACAACAACAACAACAACAACAACAACAACTACTACTACTACTACTACTACTACAACTACAACTACAACTGCTACTACTACTACTACTACTACTACTACTACTACTACTAC